TTGCCATTTTCAACATATGCTTTTAGTGTGAGTTATTTAAAAATATTAAGATATCAGATATTTTGAATATCAGCAATAGGTAAGTTAATCTCTAAACATTTTCAGTAGTAAAAAACACAAAAAAACACTTTAAGCAGAGGGTATTTGGTTTTGAGATCCTTGTTCTCTTAATCTGTGATCTGAAATCTAGTCAGTTTTCTCATTAACATCCTTGTCCCTTGGGCTAAATTATTCAGCAAACTAATTAAAGTGCTATGTAACTATTAAAATATTTTAAAATATTGGTTATTTAAAACTTATTTGGGGCTGGGTACAGTGGCTCATACCTGTAATCCCAGCACTTTGGGAGGCTGAGGCAGGCAGATCACTTGAACTCAGGAGTTCAAGACCAGCCTGTGCAACATGGTGAAACCTTGTCTCTACAAAAAATACAAAAATTAGCCAGGTGTGGTGGCATGTGCCTGTAGTCCCAGCCACTTGGGAGGCTGAGGTGGGAGGATGGCTTGAGCCCAGGAGATGGAGGTTGCAGTGTGCTGAGATCATGCCATGTATTGCACTCCAGTCTGGGTGGCAGAGCCAGAATCTTATTAAGGAATTCTGACATCTTCATCTTTTTATAAAAGGTGGCCAGACTGGGCGTGCTGGCTCACGTCTGTAATCCCATCACTTTGGGAGGCCGACGCAGGTGGATCACCTGAGGTCAGGGGTTCAAGACCAGCCTGACCAATATGGTGAAACCCCATCTCTACTAAAAATACAAAAATTGACTGGGCATGCAGAGCTCACACCTGTAATCCCAGCACTCTGGGAGGCTGAGGCGGATGGATCACCTGAGGTCAGGAGTTTGAGACCATCCTGCCCAACATGGTGAAACCTCACCTCTACTAAAAGCACAAAAATCAGCTGGGCGTGGTGGTGCGCGCCTGTAGTCCCAGCTCCTCGGGAGGCTGAGGCAGGAGGATCGCTTGAACCCAGGAGGCGGAGGTTGCAGTGAGCAGAGATCGCACCACTGCACTCCAGCCTGGCGACACAGTGAGACTCTGTCTCAGATAAAACAAACAAAAAGGAATGCACTTCTTAATCAGCTGGAGATTATTTTAGGCATGGCTTTCCCTCATAGTCTATGAAATTTTCCTATAATGATCATCCTCAGTTAGCACATGGGGCATTTACTATATGTCATGAAATAGGCCTAAGATTTTTACAAGCTTTCTGACATAATCATCAAAACAACTCTATGAGGCTGGAAGTAGGTACAAATTTTACAATTTTTATTCTCATTTTACAGATGAAGAAATACTCTTAAAGAAAATGTTAATGTCAACAGCAAACAATAATAAATTACTGAGTACTGGGTATTGTCAAATATTTTTTAATTTTTACTTTTTTTCAGAGTCTCACTGTCACCCAGGCTGGAATGCAACAGTGCAATATTGACTCACTGCAATCTGTGTCTCCTGGATTTAACTGATTCTCCTGCCTCAGCCTCCCGAGTGAGTAGCTGAGATTATAGGCACCCGCCACCACACCTGGCTAATTTTGTATTTTTAGTAGAGACAGGGTTTCATCATGTTGGGCACGCTGGTCTCAAACTCCTGACCTCAGGTGATCCGCCCGCCTTGGCCTCCCAAAGTGCTGGGATTACAGGCTTGAGCCACTGTGCCAGGCCAAGTATATTTTTAATTAATGTATTCATTATAATACAATTTACTACAAATTTGAGGGAGGAGGCTTTCCACATGGAGTTTAAGATATTCTTTTAAGAGATGGGGGTCTTGCTATGTTACTGATATGGTTTGGATGTCTGTCACTTCCAAATCTCACGTTGAAATGTAATCCCCAATGCTGGAGGTAGGGCCTAGTGGGAGGTATTGAACCATGGAGCAAATCCTTCATGAATGGCTTGGCACCATCACCTTGGTGATCAGTGAGTTCTTAGTTCACGTGAAATCTACTTGTTTAGAGTCTGGGACCTCCTCCTTCTCTCTCCTGCTGCTTCTCTCACCATGTTACATACTCGCTCCCATTTTGCCTTCTGCCACAATTGTAAGCTTTCTGAGGCCCTCATCAGAAGCAGCTGCTGGTGCCATGCTTTGTGTACAGCCTGCAGAACGGTAAGCCAATTAAATCTCTCTTCTTTATGAATTACCCAGTCTCAGATATTCCTTTATAGTAACGCAAACAGACTAAAACAGATTAGTACTGGCGGCGGGGCACTGCTATACATACTGGAAAATGTAGAAGCAGCTTTGGAACTGGGCAGAGGTTGGAAGAATCTGGAGGGCTCAGAAGACAGGAAGATGAGGGAAAGTTTGGAACTTAGAGACTTGTTCAGTGGTTGTGACCAAAATGCTGATAGACATATAGTGAAGTCCAGGGTGATGAGGTCTCAGATGGAAATGAGGAAGTTATTGGGAACAGGAACAAAGGTACACCCATGTCATGCTTTAGCAAATAACTTGGCTGCATTGTGTCCAGGCCCTAGGAATCTGTGTAAGTTTGAACTTAAGAGTGATGACTTAGGGTATCTGGCAGAAGAAATTTCTAAGCAGCAAAGTGTTTAAGATGTGGCCTGGCTGATGCTAGCAGCCTACAATCAGATATGGAAGCAAAGAAATAACTTAAAGTTGGAACTTACATTTAAAAGGGAAGCAGAGCATAAAAGTTTGGAAAATTCACAGGCTAGTCATGTAGCAGAGAAGGAAAAAGCACTTTGAGGAGAGGAATACAAGCAAACTGCAGGAATACAGTTGCCCATGCCGGACTCAAACTCATTTGCTCAAGGAATCCTTGTGCCTCAGCCTCCCAAGTAGCTGGGGCTATAGCTTGTGCCATCATGCTCAGCTATTCACCTTATATTGCTGTCAAAAATGTTTTCATTTGAGTCAACCTAGGATATTAAAAGTACCTCTAATTAAACACTCTTGCCATTAGTATCTGTGTAACCGTAAATAAGTTATTTGATATTTCTTAAGTCTCAATTAATACCTACCATTAGCAGAGATTTTGTGAAGAGCCATAATGTACTTAAAGCTTTAATAGCATTTATTTAGAAGGTCCTCAGGAAATGGTATTATTATTCCAAGGTCTTTCTAGATTGCCTCATTCACCTAAAGAGACTTGATCTTGAGCCTTTGTAGATTTTCTTATTGGTGATTCCTTCATTGCTTAGAATATCATGATTCACCAGACAGGTTACTCTCATCTACATGTATTTTTCTTTTATCTGAGGACTCTTTTTCAGTCTGTTTTTCTCTAGCAATTATCTTCAATGTTTATGCTTATAATAACCTTAGTATTTGGCATTATGACACTAATATGTGCCCATGAGACAGACAGAGCACTACTTATCACAGACAAGGTATTTTCTATTTATTTTTGAGATATAGGCTTGCTTCTTCACCCAGGCTGGAGTGCAATGGCGTGATCTCAGCTTACCACGACCTCTGTCTCGACTCTCGGTTCAAGTGATTTTCCTGCTTCGGCTTCCCCAGTAGCTGGGATTACAGCCATGTGCCACCATGCCTGGCTAATTTTTGTATTTTTAGTAGAGACAGGGTTTCACCATGTTGGCCAGGCTGGTCTCAAACTCCTGACCTCAAGTGATCTGCCCACCTCAGCCTCCCAAAGCGCTGGGATTACAAGTGTGAGCCACTAAGCCCAGCCCAGACCAGGTATTTTTTAGAGATTATGATTGTTCACCGCAAGCTGCCTAGCAGGTAGCCGAAGAATCCTGGATCAACTTAGCCATATATCATCTTTTCTACAGGCGTGAGCCCACCACACCCAGCCTTAGATTACTCACTAAGAGTATTATGTAAAATACAAAACTGGGACTATGTCCCCTCAAGATAAGCACAGTGCTAAGAGGTAAGAGATGGGAAGTTTGTATTAAGTGCAAACACTTTTGGCAAGAATTTATACAACTTCAGGCAACTGGACATTTTAGGCAAAGCACACAACTTCATAATGTATCACTAAGGAGGATAAGATAAACAGTTTTAAAAGCTGGTACAGGTGACACATTTTGTGCAATTTTAAGTTTTACATTTTTTTGTAGAAATAGGATCTTGCTATGCAGTCCAGTCTGGTCTTGAACTCCTGGCCTCAACTGATCCTCCTGCCTTGAACCCCCAAAATGCTGGGCTTACAGGTGTGAGCCACTGGACCTTCTGTTTTTAAAGATATTGTGACATACTATTATTCTAAAACCTTATCCTTTGTTGTATCAGAAAAACGACATCCTAGACTGGGCGCGGTGGCTCACGCCTGTAATCCTAGCACTTTGAGAAGCCGAGGTGGGTAAATCACCTGAGGTCAGGAGTTCAAGACCAGCCTGGCCAACATGGTGAAACCCCGTCTCTACTAAAAATACAAAAATTAGCCGGGTGTGGTGGCAGGTGCTTGTAATCCCAGCTACCGGGGAGGCTGAGGCAGGAGAATCGCTTGAATCAGGGAGGTAGTGATTGCAGTGAGCCAAGATCTTGCCACTGCATTCCAGCCTTGGGTGACAGAGTAAGACTCCATCTCAAAAAGAAAACAAAGGGAAAAGGGCATCCTATATTTGGGCTGAGTCTTTAATGAAAGCAGAAAAGAATAAGGATTACAAAACAAAAAAATTGTGAACATACTTTTGTTTGTTGGAGACAAAATCTTGCTGTGTTGCCCAGGCTGGAATGCAGCAGCACAATCACGGCTCACCGTAGCCTCAACCTCCTGGGTCAGGTGATCCTCCCACCTCAGCCTTCCAAGTAGCTGAGACTATAGGTGTACACCACCATACCCAGCTAATTTTTGTAATTTTTGTAGAGATGGGTTTTACCATGTTGCCCAGACTGGTCTCCAACTCCTGGGCTCAAGCAATCCACCCACCTCGGTCCCCCAAAGTGTTGGGATTACAGGCGTGAGCCCACCACACCCAGCCTTAGATTAAAAAAAAAAAAAAAAATCTACCTTTAATTATCTTCTAATTGTAAAATTTTTACTTCCTTTAAAAAAAAAAATTCTCAGTGATCCTTATTCTGATTCCTTTTCGTTTTGACAATTAAAACTTAAGAAAGCTGGTTGTTTTGTCTCCTATTACTGAAATAATTTAGTTGATTTAACACTACAGATGGTGTTAGGATAATGAATACAGAACATCAATGAGAATCTAAATTATGTCTCTTGAGACCTCCCTCATTCCAAAGGAGATCTCATAAGTATACATGCATACATGTATAACTTATACAAAAAAAAAAAAAGCCACATAAATCACCATAACATTACAGAAGCAGATTCAAGAGAAAATTGAAAAATGTGTTCACCATTAAACTCAATACTAATTTTTAGAAGTAAAAACCTATAGAATCAATATTAATGAGAGGAAATAATACGCTGCAGTTAAGAACAATAGACTTTGGAGTAAATAAGAAGTAGGTTTCAGTCAGTGACTTTTGCTGCATGGCCTTGGGCAAGCTATTTAATATACCCAGGCTTCAGTCTTCATCAGAAAAATGAGATAGTATTACTATCTCACAGGGTAGTATTACTATCTCACAGGGTTGTAGCAAGAACAAAAGAAGATAATACGTGTAAAACCAGAGTGCTCAGCAAACATCATAAAGCTAAATTATCATTAGCCATTGTTACTATGATTATTATTAAATTATCCCAGATACATGTCTGAGCATGATTATATATTTTTCCTATTTACCCAGCTTGACAAAGTGCTTAAAACTTTTCTTTAGCACTAGAAAAAAGTGGGTTTTAACTGGAACTCTTTTCATTTCATCCATTTTATAGACATAAATTATTTACGAAGATAAGTCAACAACTCATACTTTAAGGATTTCTTTATATGCATCACAAAGGTTATCAATGCTTTTAAGAGCATCTGCATAAAGTTTTATTATTTAACCTTTACACACAATACATGTTTTTCAAACTGCAAAGTTGATAACTAATGTCATTTTCAAATAGGCATAGTATAACCTTAAATATTACATGATTCAGATTTTTTTTTTTTACAAAGAAATAAACCTGTAAAGGATCACTGCACTATAGTTGTTCATCAATTATCTGTGGCAAAACTGGGATCCTAGTAGATACTTCAGCATATGGATGGTTCCTCTACTGCCTGGGCACCCTCTGTGACAGCTTTGACACATTTGGCCATTGTCTGTGAGGCTCTGCTAATTGAATCTGAAAGATATTAATAAAATGCCATTTCAATAATACAACTTTTTAAAAGGCACATACTAAAACTTTAATGCTGCACATATTCAGGAGGAAAAAAAGATTATAAGGCCCTATGCAAGTATATATAATTATATGTAACCAACAGATTCCAACGATAAACCCCTTACTGGCCAAATGCTTTCAATAACTATCCCTGGAAACAATCAAATAACTATAGAACAGCTAGACAGTGCACCAGTATGCAGCCATTAAAAAATTATTAAAAAGTATTAAAAACATAGGAAGGGCCAGGCATGGTGGCTCAGGCCTGTAATCCCAGCACTTTGGGAGGCCGAGGCGGGCAGATCACGAGGTAAGGAGATCGAGACCATCCTGGCTAATATGGTGAAACCCTATCTCTACTAAAAACAAAAAATTTGCCGGGCGTGGTGGCGGGCGCCTATAGTCCCAGCTACTCGGGAGGCTGAGGCATGAGAATGGCGTGAACTCGGGAGGCGGAGCTTGCAGTGAGCCGAGATCGCACCACTGCACTCCAGCCTGGGTGACACAGCAAGATTCTGTCTCAAAAAAATAAAAAATAAAAAAATAAAATATAGGAAAAATATGTACAATACTATAATTGAAAAAAGGGTACAAAACAGCATAGGTACTAAAATACATTGAATTGTGCACTTCATGAGTAAATTTTAGGGTATGTGAATTATATTTCAATAAAGCTATCAACCCGAACCCCCAAGTGAATAATCTCACTTCCAGCCTGGTCTGAAACTCCTGGATTCAAGCCATCTGCCCCCCTCAGCCTCCCAAAATGCTGGAATTACAGGCATGAGCCACTGCACCTGGCCTAATCTCACTTTTTGTTTAAATAAAAAATATATAGGCCAGGGGTGGTGGCTCACGCCTGTTGTCCCAGCACTTTGGGAAGCTGAGGTGGGTGGACTGCTTGAGTCCAGGAGTTTGAGATCTGCCTGGGTAACATGGCGAAACCCTGTCTCTACAAAAAATACAAAAATTAGCTGGATGTGGTGGTATGCGCCTACAGTCCTAGCTACTCAGGAGGCTGAGGTGGGAGGATCGCTTCAGCCCAGGAGGCAACGGTTGCAGTGAGCCAAGATTGCGCCACTGCTCTCCAGCCTGGGTGACAGAATAAAATGTCATCTCAAAAATTATACATACAATATACATGTACACGTATATAGTAATAATTACATATAAATAACAATATATAATTATTAATATACTATTATATGTATATAATGTATATGTATGTCCCTGGAGGAAGAGTGACTAAAATGTTAAAAAAATTATAGTTACTTCTTGATAGTGGGAACGTAGTGTTTTTTTTTTTTTTTTAAGCTTTTAGGTTCAGGGGTACATGTGAAGGTTTTTTACACAAGTAAACTCATGTCACGGGGATTTGTTGTACAGAATATTTCATCATCGAGGAATTAAGCCCAGTACCCAAGACTTATCTTTTCTGCACCTCTCCCTCCTCCCACTCTCCATCCTCATGTTGACTACAGTGTCTGTTGTTTCCTTCTTTGTGTTCATAAGTTTGCAGATAAGTATTGTAGAAGTGATTTTTTGTTGTGCTTTGGAGCATAGCTATTATTTTACAATGAAGGTAATCTTTATCATCTAACTAAAATACCTATTAAAAAAATCTTAGATACAAACTATATAAAAACATTAAAAGAGTTCTATGTGCTTTTAGAAAATTAGTTAAAATAATCTATCAACTATTAAATACCTCATAGCCTAGATGCTGTATCAACTGTTCTAAGAATATGCAATAAACAAGTTTCAGTTTGTCTGCGTTCCTTAAAAACATTCCTAACACTTTACATCAGGAGCAGAGTTTAACATGTTTCACATTTAAATGTTTTGATTCTTCCACCTATAATTCTCCGAAAAACCTTCAGGTATTTGCCACTTTGGAAAATTCACCCTAAATTGCTACACAGTGACTTTCCTTACAACAGCAAAATTTTATATTTAAAATCTATTAATTGTTTGGATTTTCAAACTTTGCTTACATTTCAGAAACAAAAAAACTAGAGTAGAATCAGAAAACATGCTTACGTTAGTTCCAATGTTTAAAAACCTTCAAAGATTAAGAATTGCAAACACTATCAATCACAAATTGGAATTATAACACCAAATGAGGTGATCTGATTACTCCTTACCTTTCATATTTGGCAGAGTCATGTTGACAATTACATACCTGTCATGTAGAAGTCTTTTATAGTTAGCTGAGGTGGAACAAGTGGGTCAGCAAGAAGCTGCTGGTTCACTAGCTGCACAAAAAACAAGAGACCAACAATAATGTGAAAAACTAGTACTGTTACACCAGTAGACACAACATTTTGAAAACTGCTCATAGGCAAGCTGTTACCTTTGAGAGCTCATTTGCTTGCTGGAAGTAATTAGCCCCTTCAATATCATCATATCGAACAAGATTAGGAGAGACTTCTTCCAATCTGTTCCTTACTTGATCCAGAGTATCATATGGAAGAGTTATTCCAGCAATCTACAACATGTCAGGTCCCCAAAAACAACAAAAAGCTTTAATACTTAAAAATGTCAAATAATAGATAACTGTAACTATGGTGAAATAATGCAGCACTACTGAAAAACCTATTGGTGTCCATTAATAGACATACATTTATGAAGGAAGCAGTTAAACAGGGAACACAAATTAGTGACTCTATGAAATGATTAAAGAGACGATGCTATGCTACATCCAAATGTTTCTGCTAACCTGTTATTAACAATACACAAAGTTTACGATGTATTATTATTTTAAAAGTCAGGATGCTTACTTTTACATCAATAAAGAACTAACAGACCTATTTTCAGGCAAAAGACAAGTCAACAATTTTCAGCAATAAAATCACCAATTTCAGGCCAGGTGCAGTGGTTCACACCTGTAATCCCAACACTTTGGGAGACCGAGGTGGGAGGACTGCTTGAGGCCAGGAGTTCGAGACCAGCCTGGCTAACATGGCGAAACCCCATCTCTACTAAAAATACAAAAATTAGCAGGGCTTGGTGGTACATGTCTGTAATCCCAGTTACTCGGGAAGTTGAGGCAGAAGAATTGCTTGACACCGGGAGATAGAGGTTGCAGTAAGCCGAGATCACGCCACTGCACTCCAGCCTGGGCAATAGAGGAAAACTGTCTCAAAAATAAATAAAATAAAATAAAATAAAATAAAGGCACCAATTTCAAATTCCTTTATTTTTTAAGAGACAGGGTCCTACTCTGTCCCTCAGGCTGGAGTGCAGCGATGCAATGAGAGCTCACTGTAACCTTGGAATTCCTGTTTCTGAATACATGTTTCCTATAGAAATTATTCAAATCATCTCTGCATTTCAGATAGGCATCTTCCTTGACTTTGAAAATCATTCTCACAGGCTAAAATATCAAATATCCCTTTAGTAGCACCACTAAGAAATGACTCAGAAATTATACCTCAGAGAGTGCTCTTATAATTTTCCAGTCTTCTCTTGCCAAGCCAGGAGGCGTCACTGCTACCTTAGTCTGCTGAGCTCTACCCTCAGTGTTGACATATGTAGCAGACTTCTCTGTGTAAGCAGCTCCTGGGAGAATAACATCAGCTATGGGAGCCCCAACATCACCATGATGTCCTGTACAAAGATGGAAAATGGCAAACCAAAATTTTATTAAAAACTGATTTTCTACTGTACATGAAGACAGTATATATCATTTTAAAATCCATTTTGTAAAGTCACAAAAGTTTTTAAAACTAAAATAAAGCAGTAGTGAAGTAATAAAAAATTAAAGCCCACCTCACTCCTAGTTCAACTTCTTTCCCAAATAAAATTATTATTATTATTTTGAGATGAAGTCTCGCTCTGTGGCCCAGGCTGAAGTGCAGTGGTACAATCTCAGCACACTGCAAGCTCCGCCTCCTGGGTTCACGCCATTCTCCTGCCTCAGCCTCCCGAGTAGCTGGGACTACAGGCGCCCGCCACCACGCCCAGCTAATTTTTTGTATTTTTAGCAGAGATGGGGTTTCACCATGTTAACCAGGATGGTCTTGATCTCCTGACCTCGTGATCCGCCCACCTCAGTCTCCCAAAGTGCTGGGATTACAGGCATGAGCCCCAAAGAAAATTATTGTTAAAGCATTTGGGGGGCCAGGCGTGGTGGCTCATACCTGTGATCCCAGCACTTTGGGAGGCCAAGGCGGGCAGATGACTTGAGGCCAGGAGTTTGTGACCAGCCTGGCCAACATGGTGAAATCCCATCTCTACTAAAAATACAAAAAAATTAGCCCAATGAGGTGGTGTGTGCCTGTAATCCCAGCTACTCAAGAGGCTGAGGCAGGAGAATCGTTTGAACCCGTGAGGCAGAGGTTGCAGTGAGCCGAGATCACGCCACTGCACTCCAGCCTGGGTGACAGAGTGAGACTCTGTCTCAAAAAAAATTCTTTTAAAAAGAAAAAAAAGTATCTTCTCAGACTATTTTATGCAAATACAAACATGTATAATATCATACACACATATAAAATAGGCAAATAAGTATACTGATGCTTACAAAGTAGAAATGCTTGCAAAGTAGAACTGCTCAGATCTACCAGTTTGTGAAATTTGGTAAAGTAGACTGAAATGGGCGGGGGGATGCAAAGACAGGAATATGACAGTAATACTGAAAAAGGCATAAAAAATTACAGAAAAATTTGGAAACACTACCACCCATTAGTAACAACTAGCAGAAGAAAGAAGTTATTTTATTCAGAAAAGAAGACCTTTAGAAACATCTGAATCAAATGTAAGAAAGTTGTAGAATAATACATAGTTTAATATAATTTGTGCACATTTGTGTATGCGTATGAAGATGTTATGAAGTACGTATATCAAAATTGTCATCAATGATTATTTCTTAAAGAACTAAAAACAGGATTTTAGTTTGTTTATATTTTTATTTAAAATAACATTTTTTTGTTGCTCTATCACCCAGGCTGGAGCACAGTGGCGTGATCATGGCTCACTGCAGCCTCAACCTGCTGAGCTCAAGTGATCATCCCACTTCAACCTCCTAAGTAGCTGGGATCATAGACATGCAGCATTATGCCTAGCTAATTTTTAATTTTTTGTAGAAACAGGGTCTCCCTATGTTGCCCAGACTGGTCTAGAACTCCTTGACTCAACGAATCCTCCTGCCTCAACCTCGCAAAGTGCTGGGATTACAGCATGAGCCACAGCACCCAAGGAACAGGATTCGGTTCATATATTTTGGTTTAACTTTTTTTTTTTTTTGAGAGGGCGTTTCACTCTTATTGCCTAGGGTGGAGTACAATGGCATGATCTTGGCTGACTGCAATCTCTGCCTCCCAGGTTCAAGCAGTTCTCGTCTCAGCCTCCCGAGTAGCTGGGATTATAGGCACCCGCCACTACGCTTGGCTAATTTTTATATTTTTAGTAGAGACAGAGTTTTACCATGTTGGTCAGGCTGGTATTGAACTCCTGACTTCAGGTGATCCACCCGCCTTGGCCTCCCAAGGTGCTGGGATTACAGGTATGAGCCACCGCACCCAGCAGGTAATAATTCTTAAAAGTAGTATCAATTATGTAACTAATAACACTTGCAGTTTGTTTAAAAAAAAAAGAAGGGGGAGTAGGGGGAGGCAAAATTCTCAAATGGAAAACATTCAATTCACTAAATATATTACTAAATGGTTTCTAACATACACAATGTACTACCCTCTTTTGTTTTCAGTGTCACAGGTGATACTTACCTTGATAAATAATGAAACAATCCTTTGGCAAATCCTGTCGTGTGATACAACCTCCATCTGCTCCCAGGAGAAACAGCACCTTGGGAGGGTTCTTCCGAATTGCTTCCACCCCAGGTTTATAGCCAAGGTCCAAAGCAGCTACTTGACTTGCAATCCTGCAAAACAATTACGGAATTTTACCATAACTGCAGTGTTTTCAATGTAAAAAATTAAATGTGATTCTTGGAATAATTTCCTTTCAACAATGTCAAAAAACCCATTTTATTTTTTTATCGGAGATAGAGTCTCACTTTGTTGCCCAGGCTGGAGTGCAGCGATGCAATGAGAGCTCACTGTAACCTTGGAATTCCTGTTTCTGAATACATGTTTCCTATAGAAATTATTCAAATCATCTCTGCATTTCAGATAGGCATCTTCCTTGACTTTGAAAATCATTCTCACAGGCTAAAATATCAAATATCCCTTTAGTAGCACCACTAAGAAATGACTCAGAAATTATACCTCAGAGAGTGCTCTTATAATTTTCCAGTCTTCTCTTGCCAAGCCAGGAGGCGTCACTGCTACCTTAGTCTGCTGAGCTCTACCCTCAGTGTTGACATATGTAGCAGACTTCTCTGTGTAAGCAGCTCCTGGGAGAATAACATCAGCTATGGGAGCCCCAACATCACCATGATGTCCTGTACAAAGATGGAAAATGGCAAACCAAAATTTTATTAAAAACTGATTTTCTACTGTACATGAAGACAGTATATATCATTTTAAAATCCATTTTGTAAAGTCACAAAAGTTTTTAAAACTAAAATAAAGCAGTAGTGAAGTAATAAAAAATTAAAGCCCACCTCACTCCTA